TGCCAAGGTTGGACACCCCTGACATAGATGGACTCTTTGACCCCTCTATCAAACCAGCAGTCCTCTCTCTGTCCAAAATGTGGACTCTGCTGCCTTCCAAAGAGCGGCCTTTGTCTTTTAAAGGCAGATGGACCGCTGAATCTTGTCCTGATAGGTTTGGCCTCCTATGTTGTGCCATGTGTTTACTGACAGCCATGACCTGGGGGACTGAGAATCTCCATAGACCTTTGAGAGAGGCAGCCTTTTAAAACGGTACAAGGGAAAAGTCATTTTGTGCCTTTTATTTTTGCACATCTTTTATACACCTTTTACACACATTCCAGTAGAGAGACGTTCCCTGAGGATAGGCTCCAGTCTTTTCTACTTTGGCCGGAAAAAAAAGTACGCTGAACTCAGAGTTAACAACTGACCCGTTGCTCTTCTACTGACCGTCTCTCGTTTTCTGACTCCCCAGGTGGGACTTTGGTGATGGTGACCAAGCCATTTTGGAGTTTCATCCACCCTATAATGAATCCTTCCTGAAGCCAGATCCCAAGATCCACCAGGTGCAAATCGGGCACAATCTATCCCATATCTACCAAGACCCAGGTGAGAAAATCTTTGGATATTTGAAATCACGGAGGTTCAGGAGAGCCCCTACCTAAGATTCTGTGCCCGTCGGAGAACCTCCAAATCCCACTCCTGGCTGCCCCCCCTCTCCTCCCCCCCCAGGAGTTCCCCACGCAGCCCGTTTTGGATGCAGGAAGTGCAGGGCGCGCATGGAGGCTTGGGGAGGGTGAAAAATGGACCTCCTGGAAGTCAGGAAAGCCAGAAATGGGCCTCTTTCCAGCTTCCAAAGAGCCTCCGGAGGCTGGGGAGACCGTTTTCGCCCTTCCGGAGGCTCGAGAAAAGCCTCCAGAGTCGGGGGGGGGCAAAAACCCCCCCCCCCCCCCGCTGTGGTGCAGGAGGCCGATGAGGCCACACCCACCCATCAACTGGGCAGAGAACCCGTTGCTGAAATTTTTGAACTCCACCCCTGCACACTGGCCTACAAACCTGGAAAAGTTGGAGACCATTATTCTAACCGGATTACTCCCAATTTATTAACATAATAGACATGTCCCATTTCAAGCTAAAACTGAGGCCGAACCAAAGGCTTTCACAGGCAGTCCTAAGGCCCCGTCTCTGCACCCTGAGCCTCTTATCATTGCTTCAATCGGCTAATGTTTCTTTTTCTCTTTTTTGCTTCCTCTCCTTTCCTGTTCTTCTCACCACCTCCTGCAGTGGCAGCACCTTTCTCTTGTCCTTCCTTCTCTTCCATCCCATTGGGTGACTATCCTGCCATCCTCAGGTAGCCCTTTTGTAACCCTTGCACTGATTGCCATCATCTTCATATATTTTGAACTGTCTAAATCACAGCGTTTAGGGTTTGGATAGGGGAAATTGCATTGAGAGAGAGGGGAAAGGGTAGTGTTTGTCAACCTTTGGCAAGTTTAACACGGGTGGACTTCAACTCCCAGAATTCCCCAGGCAGCTTGTCTAAACAAAGACAGGAAAAGAAACTAGCATTGAGAAGATGGTTTGACATCCTTGGTATGCAAAATAACCTTTGCTGCCTTACAAGCCAGCCAGCATCGTGCATTGCTCATTGTGGTTTGCAACCTGCACATAATGTCATTATTGTTTATTCATCTGTTTGTGTGCTTGTATGTTGCTGCGTATTTATTTGCACGTCAGATGCTGCTGTGTGCCTGGGGGAGAGGGAAAAGCGCGACCCCACAGCTCTCTTGGTGCCCTTGATTCTCTCAACAGCAAATGGAGGAGGAAAGTTAATGAAGGGAAACCAAAGATGGGCAGAGAAAGCCTCAATTGCCAGCAAGGACAATTAATGAAAGTATAGAAATTTAGCTCATACGCCTACGTTTTGGAGGGATTTGGCTTACTTTATAAGCAAATTGGGGGGGGTGATTTAATTTAGAATACACAGAGTCCTCATTTAGTGACTGTTTGAAGACGGAGCCGAAGGACATTTACAACCCAGATTCAAAGTTCTGACAGGTTTCTCCCCCCCAAAACTGTATTTTGGGCCCTTGGCAACTTACTCATAATTAGGGATGCTTCAACACCCCATGGTCATTACCGCATTTTATGTTGGGGTTGTTTTTTTTGCCAGAAACTGGTGTTTATTTCTGGTTTCTGGCAAAACAACACTTATTGTGGACAATGGAGTCACTTAATAACCCCTGTGTTATTTAATGACCTCAGTGATTCACTTAATGACCAGCACAACTGACAACTATAATTTTTATTTGTTTATCGAAATTCTGTGCTGTCCATCCTGCCAAGGCTCACTTTGGGGCTCAATTACAGCCATTAAGTTGAGGATTGCTTGCAAAATGGGTTCCTGAATGCAACCCTCTGTCTTGATCTTGACCTGCATTCTGCATTTTAACATGGAAATAAAATGTAATTTCTTGTGTTAGATAATTAGCTGGGGTCCATTTGTAGCTCTCGGATTTCTTGCTGATGAATGAATAGATGAATCCTGTTCAGGGCCATCGGTGGCAGATAGGTGCCGTTCCAACCACTATCTCGATATTTTTGATCTCCCTGAAAATTCCTGATTCCTGTTTACTCTTCTCCCTGCAAAATTTAACAAGGGAAATGTTCAGTTTCAGAATTGGTATGAGTCACTTGGTAAGGTGTCAAAAGGAATTCATAGCTCAACCTTGGGATTGGGATTGTCTCCTGCCGAAACTTTAGGGAAACTTCAGTTGAGGGAAAGAAAGAAAATCCAAGGGATTGTCTAGACCAGGAATCTCCAACCTTGGCAACTTTAAGACTTGTAGATTGCAACTCCCACTTTGAAGCTTTGCTGGTTGAGGAATTCTGGGAGTTGAAGTCTACAAGTCTTAAAGTTGCCAAGGTTGGAGACCCCCGGTCTAGAAAAAGGGGTGCTGCCAATCAAATTGTATTTGCAATTTTCCAGTTTGGGGAATTTTACGAGCTTTTTGTGTATTTTCTTTTAAACAAAGATTCAGGGGAGCTGAGCAGCTTTATTTATTTTATTAGACTTATGTGTTATTCTCATAATTGACTGACAGAGCAGTTTACAATCCTGCCATGTGTAAAAAGGATTAAAAACAACTAAGAAATAGAACCATAAATGAATAAACATTAAATACTCCAATGCTGAGGAGCCATAGAAACTCAGAGCATCATACATTCTCAGGTGGGGGGGTGGAGAATCTCATTTAATTCATCCCCCCCCCCCCAAAAAAAAGAAAAGGTCGGCTGAAATAATCCAGTTTTGATTGCCCTCCTAATCCTCCAAAGTTGAGACAAGTGGAAACGTGGAGGCTGTTATTCCAGGGAAGGGAAGTAGCACTCAGTGCCAATAAATGAGCATACAAACTTCTCAGATCATGTGAAAATAAAACCAAATGTCTGCTCCAAATTCTGAGCTAAGAAAAAGACCACGGAGAAGTAGCAGATATGCTCAGTCAGGTCTCTTTCTGCCGTAATGGACAGTTTCCTTCCCTTTGCATTCATCCATTCAATCCTGTCTTTTCCTTACTATGAGGGACGCTTGCAATTTGATGTGTGGGTCAGAGGCAGCTGGAGGGGTCTAGGACAGTGGTGGCTAACCTTTTTGGGCACCTGTGCCAAAAATTGTACATGTGCTTGCACACTCGCGCTCACGTGCCAGCACCCAAAAGGCAATGCGCCCCCCCCCCCGTGCCCCCTACGCATGTGCGCGCATGCGTAGGGGGTGGAAAAACAGGAAGTGACAAAACGGGCCTAGTTTTCGGCCTGAAAAGCCTGCAGAAGCCTTCCTGAAGCTTCTGGAAGGCCGAAAAAGGCCTCAAACCGGCCAAAAATCAGTTGTGAAGCACGCACATGCATAGTGAGGTAAGTTTGCCTGCTGCTTGCGTGCCGGCGCAAATGGGTCTGCGTGCCATAGGTTCGCCATCACAGGTCTAGGACAACTCACCGTGGCTGACTAGTCCCGACCAACTCACTGTGAGACATGTCGCAACATGGGACAATTCAATGCATGTGTCAGGGTTCCAAGTAATAACTCCATAGAAAGCAGAACTTCAAGGCAGGCAAGTTCTTCAAAGAACAATTTTATTGGAGACTAGATTAGGGATGTCAAGTGTAGAAATAGACTTGTATAATACCTTGATTCCTACCTAAACCCTTTCTTAGAATTGATACATAACTAGCTGGATACTATGTGGTCAGGCTTAGTTTTGGGGGAAGAAAATAAGGGGGGGAAATTCTGCCTCTGCCTACCAGCATCCATCGGTATTCATCTGGCTAGCGTCCTGTCAGTGTGTGAGAGAGTTGAGGGCTGTTTGGAAACTGAAAGAGTATTTGCTGTGTGAGCAAGAAGGAGACAGCAAGGAGCCTGGGCGTGGCTTAGCTCAGCTGTTCTGTATTAAAACTGGTTGCTGCTGTGAAAGTAAAACAAACTGAAACGGAACCTCCTCTGCTCTGCTTGTGTTTTGCCTTTGGAAGAGATTTCTTTTCAGGTGGGGAGGGAGAGTAGAACTCCTTAGCATCAGAGCGTGTTCATAATAATAATATAGGAAATACGAATGCTCTGATGGTCATTTTGAAAAATCCTTTCTTTGTGAGCACCTAGAAGCCAAGAGGAACATACGTGCCAAATTTCAAGTTTGTAGGCTTTATGGTTCTGGAGATTTTGTGATGATGCGCGAGTGGTCTTTCGCTTTTATATATATAGAAGATATCATATTGGCACAAAGAGGTGAAAACCGACTCTGAAAGTTTTCACCTGATTAAAAAGTGAAAGTTCCCCCTTTCTCCAAACAATCAGTCACATTGTCCAATGAAGGAGCTTGCTGGTTGCATGGTAACCGGACTCCTCCTCTCGCCATCCACCTGTTGGCATGTCCTTGGTCCCACAGGAAACTATTTGGTTTTGACTACAAACCCCCATCTAACTATGTCCCCTCTCCCTATCCCATCTTCACACTGGGGCAACCCTGAAGCCTCCAAAATGGCCCTATCTAGGTTCGCTTCAGAGTTGACAGTGTGATAATCAAGAAAGGGACAAGTGAATTGAAGCAGGCCTTGTCTTGCTTTAGGTTTGACCCTTCTCAAGTTAGAAGTCCTTGAGGCTGGGTGCAGTTCACTTGTCCTTCTCTTGAATTATCCCACATTGAATGGTCCCATGGCGTTGGCCGTGTCAAGCAGTGCATTACTGACTGCAGTGGGTAGTGAGGGAATTATTGGCCATCTCAATTCGCCTTTCCTGAGGCAAAGAATCAAATCAAATCCTATTCCAGGTAAGAACATCTGGAGTTGGAATAAAACGTATTTCGTACAAATCAGGAAGCCCTCCTCCTTCTTATCAGCCCAAAGGGCTAAACTGTGTTTCAGGCTGCTGCATCCAGTGTAACAAAGGCCTTTTCCTTTGCAATGCATCCTGGGGGCAAAGGGAAAGACCGCAGCATCAAGTACCTGCTTCGTGCTCAGCGAGGTTGTGGCACTTCTGGCATGCTTCAAAGGAGGAGAAATACATCGGTCAGGTTTGCCTGGCAAGCTGTAGACCAGTGATGGCTAACCTTTTCATCGTCGTGTATGCGTTCCTGCACCCATAATGCAATGCGCGCACAACCCCTCCGCCCCTACACATGCACATGCACATGCACCCGCCATGTATGTGCGGCAGATACCCAACAATCAGCTGGTTGTCGGGAGGTGCGTGCATATCCGCAATGCATTTGTTCCAGGCGGCTGCTTGTGTGCCGACAGAAATGGCTCTGCGTGCCACTTCCGGCACGTGTGCCATAGGTTCGCCATCATGGCTATAGACTGTGTGTGTGTATGTGTGTGTGTGTATTTTTGTATGTGTGTGTGTGTGTGTGTGTGTGTGTACAACCTTGGCAATCTTAAGATCAACTCCCAGAATTCCCTAGTCAGCCATGCTGGTTGGAGAATTATGGGAGTTGAAGTCTGCAAGTTTTAGTTGCCTCTGCTATAGACTGAGTGACTGAAGTGAGATTGGGGAGTTTGTATTGAGGTCACAGCCATCCCATGAAGCCACAACCTGGTTTTTCTGCTTGAGCATGGCGGACTGTGTGAGTTCAACAGTGTCAGTTTTTAATCCTGACCTGGATTTCTGATCCATTGGAAAAACGAGCAGTTCTGATTCTTTTTTTCTCTGATTTTCCCCTGCAGGTGAATACAGCCTGACTGTTGTAGTCTCCAATGAATTTGAGAACCTGACCTATTCAACCCCTGTCCACATCTATGCTCACCTAACAGAAGTGGCCATGCGAGGAGCCTCAGATGTTTTGGTTGTGGGCCATCCTGTCACCTTTGAAGCTCAAGTGATGCCCTCTGGCTTCGGAGTCTCTTACACCTGGAATTTTGGGGATGGTTCAGAGGCATTTGTGGAAAGCCAGGCCGCCGTAGTCCACACCTACAGTTCCAGAGGGACGTACAAGGTCTGGGTGCAAGCAAACAACACCATCAGCACTGTGGAGACATGTCAGCATTACCGCGTCTTTGAAGAGATCAGTGGGTTGTGGGTGTCCTTGAATGAAACCATAGAGCTTCTCACACCGATTGAGATCAGTGCTTCTGTGGAAACAGGAGATAATATCACCTGGATATTTGACATGGGCGATGGGACGATTGTGGAGACTCCTGTGGCGTCCGTAAAGCATACTTATTTAAAGGATATGAACTACACAGTAAATGTAACCGCGGTGAATCCAGTCAATTCTCTTTCCCGAGCTGTGCCCATCCAGATATTTGTGCTGATGGTACTCAAGATTGAGCCTTCCTCCTGTATCCGAGAAGACCCTGAAGTGCAGCTCACGGCTCACGTGTCAGGTAATCCCCAGAACTACTTTTTTGACTGGACATTTGGCGACGGCTCATCCAACATCACCGTGTATGGTGATCCAACCGTGATACACAACTTCACCTTCAGTGGGATCTTCCGCCTGTCTTTGGTCCTTTCCAGCAAGGTCAACAAAGCACAGTATTATACGGAGATTTGCGTGGAACCAGAGATCACCAACGTGACGCTTTCGGTAAGGCCAGAACTGGTGTGGCTCGGCAACGAGACCAAATTTCAAGTCACAGCCTTGCCCCCTTTCCGCTACCATTATCTTTGGGACTTTGGAACGAACAACTCCACCAGGTCTGGTGGAACCGAAGTGAGCTATACCTACAGAAATCCAGGCGACTATATGGTCATGGTGACCGTCTGCAACAATGTCTCTTTCAACAATGTCTCTGCATCAGTAGAAGTCCAGGAGCCGGTTGGGGTGGCCAAGATTGAGTCAAACGGCTCAAAGGTTTTGGAGCTGAACCAGGTTTATCTCTTCTGGGCCAATGTCACTGGGACCAAAGTTAGTTATTTGTGGTACTTTGGGGACGGGACTTCCCAGTTGGGAAAATTCATCACCCATTCTTACAACAAGAGTGGTACCCATACCATCAGTTTGACGTGCTGGAATGACGTCAGCTTCCACGAGGCCAAGATGAATGTGACGGTGAAGAGGCGCCTGCAGGGCCTGAGCATCAACGCCAGCAGGACGGTAGTGCCTCTGAACGGTTCTGTGAGTTTCGTGGCCAGCCTCCTGGCGGGCACTGCCATCCGCTACTCTTGGATCTTGTGCGACAGGTGCACTCCCATCCCGGGTCTTTCCACCATTTCCTACACTTTTCGCTCCGTTGGGACGTTCAATGTGATTGTGACGGCAGAGAATGAGATCGGGGGCCTGCAAAGCAACATCTTCATCTATGTCTTGGAGCAGATAGAAGGGCTGCAGATCACCGGAGGGGACTTCCTGGACAACCTTTACTTCCCCACCAATAAGACGCTGCAGCTGCAAGCAGCCGTGAAAGCCGGAACAAACATCTCTTACAACTGGACTGTGCTGAAGGAAAGTCACCCTGTGCAGACGTTTACCGGGAAGGTTTTTTCCTTAGTCATTCTGGAAGCAGGGCCCTTTGATGTCCACCTGAAAGCCACCAACATGCTGGGAAGCTCGGCCGTCAACAAGACGGTGGAGTTCATTGAGGAGGTGGGCGCCTTAAAGCCCACGGCCACCCCCAACCCTGCTGCCGTCAACGCATCTGTGAACATAAGTGCCGGTGCGGCTGCCGGAAGTGGGCTGCTATATACTTGGCACTTCGAAGGTGGCCTTTCTCTCTGCACAGCTTCCAGTACCATCGCACACTCTTTCCTGAGTCCAGGTGCCCAAATCGTTGCCGTGGCTGCAGGAAACAAATTTGGTTCTGCCAATGCATCCCTTGTGGTATGCGTACAGGAACCAATAATGGGCCCAGAGATTAGGATCGTAAGGCCAAACAGCAGTTCTGTGGAATCGGGCACTGTGGTGAACTTTGCTGGAGAGCTTGAAAGGGGATCTGACGTACTCTGGACGTGGAAGATGCAGGACAAAACCATCTCGGGCCAAAGGGTGGCTCTCAATTTTCCCGTGGCAGGAATTTTCCCAGTCTGCTTGAATGCGTCGAACAACGTCAGCTGGGACGTAGCTTGCCTCAATCTGACAGTGCAAGATGCAATCCAGGGCCTGAAGCTCAGCGTAAGCGAGGACGTGCTGCAGCCAGGGCAACTGGTCTCTTTTGAGGTTGAAATATCTTCTGGTTCCTCCGTGAGCTATTGGGTCACCATCGGGAGTAACCACTCCGAGATCCTCAGTGCTTCCAACTTCACCTACAAGTTCAGCCAGGTTGGAGAGTACTTAGTGAGAGTCACTGCAGAGAATCAAGTAAGTGTGGCTTACGCCGAGCATCTTATCGTGGTGCTGGAGGCCGTGCGTGGCCTCCAGATCGCCGATTGCTGTGAACGAGGAATGCCTGCTGTGGTGGAGAAACAGTTCACGGCTCGGATTGAGAAGGGCTCACAGGTGTCTTACGTCTGGCACTTCACCTTAGTAAACGAGCAGCAACGTTCCCAGGTTCGCTTAGAGGGCCAAAGTGTCTCTTACACCCCAGAAGCAGCGGGGCAGTTGGACATCCACCTGTGTGCTTTCAACAGTCTTAGCAGCCTGAACGTAACTGTGGTGATCCAAGTCCAAGATTTCATCCTCCAGCTGTCCATCCAGCCCGTGGACTCCTTTGTCAACCGCACAACTTGGTTCAAAGCCTCTGTGCTGCCCAGTGCCAGAGAAGTTCTGTTCTGGTGGCATTTTGGAGATGGCTCTCCAGCGGTACAAACGAGCGTGCCATCCGTCAGCCATGTGTATCTGAGGCCTGGCGATTATGTAGTGGAGGTGAATGCCACCAACCTCATCAGCTTCTCCATCGCCCACCGCACCGTCACGGTCCGAATCCTGGAGTGCGAGGAACCAGAAGCGGAGCTTGCTTTACCTGCTCAGGTGTATATGAAAAGATCCCAGAAGAATTATCTGGAGGCCCAGATTGACTTGCGAGGATGCACCAGGTACCAGACTGCTTATCTCTGGGAGATCTACAAAACCCCGAGCTGCCTACACCTGGAGGCTTTTGCCAAAGTCCTGTTGGTCAGTGTGGACGTGAACCGGCCCCAGTTGGTCATCCCCAAGCTCACCCTGGATCTCGGCAACTACTGCTTCAAATTCCTGGTCTCTTTTGGTGATACTCCTCTGTCCAAAAGCATTTTTGCCAACGTGACAGTTTTGCCCAATAAACTGGTGCCCATCATTGATGGAGGATCATACCGTGTGTGGTCCAGCACCCGGGATTTGATCTTGGATGGCGAGAAATCCTATGACCCTAACTGGGAAGACTGGGAACAGACACCGTTACATTATCACTGGACTTGCGTATCGTCTTCCAAAGTAAGTGAACCTGGATGTTGCCCACTGAACTGAGCTCTAGATTAGTTGGGGAACACTTCTCTCCGGTTAGGGACTCCCTATTTTTACTTGGTTGTAAGTCACCTAGGGGATATGCGGTGGCTGAGTGGCTAAGACGCTGAGCTTGTCGATCAGAAAAGTCGGCAGTTCGGAGGTTCGAAAGCATAGTGCCGCATAACGGAGTGAGCTCCCGTTACTAGCTTCTGCCAAACTAGAAGTTCGAAGGCATGTAAAAATGCAAGTAGAAAAATAGGGACTCCTTTGGTGGGAAGGGAACAGCGTTTTGTGCGCCTTCGGCGTTTAGTCCTGCAGGCCACATGACCACGGAGACGTCTCCGGACAGCGCTGGCTCTTCTTTGGCTTTGTAACGGAGATGAGCCCCTCCCCCTAGAGCTGGAAATGACCAGCACGGATGTGCGAGGGGAACGTTTACCTTTACGTCATCTGGAATGGCCTCTTGGTAAGGTGGCAGCAGATCAATTAATGAAACACAAATAGATAAATAAATTTCTCCACTAGTTAAATGCAGGATCTGGCTTTTGCCATCAATCACTATGGAATTTTAGGGCATGGGATTGGCTAACCTGTCATCCCTCATTCTTCTGCTGTGACCTGGGCCACAGATCGTGAAGCACATGGCGCCTTAAGCTGGCCAGTGGCTGACCCGAGAATGCCAAGCAACACAAGTGTTACCAATGGTCTTTGCTGCTTACTCCCTGCCCAGCACAGGAAACCCAGCCTCTCCACGCCTCTGTCTTTGGTTTCACAGACAAAACACTCTTTCTGTTGAGGCATTTCTGCTGATTTTCAGCTGGATTCCACCTACTAGTAATTTAAAACTTTTAGCCCCTTTTTCCTCTCTTAATACATTGGATATTTTGGAATTGTAATGTAGTTATTTATTTCTTCATATTTAAATACCAGGGTTGTTCATTTCCTACGTAGAAAAGTTTCCACTTGGCTTCCCAGAAAGAGGCTTTTCTTAAGACCGAGGAAGCACAAAAGCACTTTAATTTGCCCAGCTTCCTCCTCCTATTCAGTTGCGAGAGCTTTATTTCTGTGATTTTGCTGGCTGGTTGTGAGCAACTGGGGTCATTCACAGCAGAGCCGAATCACAAAACCTAAGACAAAAGCAAACGGAAGAAAATTGTTTAATTTTGCAAATGGGGAGGGTTAAGAAAGGAGTGGGTTTTTTTTTTAAGAGAGCAAGAAATGAGGAGCTTTCAGAACAGAGGACTACAGAAAGATGCAAACCTGGCTGAGAATATTTGATTGTGAATTAATTCAAGTGGCTTTTGAGCTGGATTGGCACTCTTGATTGGGAGTGACTTGATTTAGATCAGCCACTTCATCTGCCTCCATTTTTCTGGCTGAGTTAAAAGTTAAAACGTAGTGTGAAATTGTAGAACCACAGAATGTAAACATTGGAAGATAGCCTTGAGATCATGGAACCCAACTCCTGCAGATATCCTCACAATTGGTCATCTACCCTCATGAAACATTTTCTGAGAAATCCAGTCTACCGTTTCCTGTCCCACTGGTGAACAGCTCGTAGTTCTAGGAATCTAGGACATTTTTCCCAGTGCCCAGCCCAGTTCAACTTCCTTTTCATATAAACCTCTTTTTTCATATCTTGCTGTCTTCTGGAACACCTCTGAACATGACTCCTTCCAGATGTTCGAAAACAACTGCTGGATTTTCCCATCTTTAGCCCTAACACACCCAATGCTTCTCATTCCAAGCTAGTTACCATTTTGGTGGGTCTCCTCTGGACTCCTCTGGTCTATTCTATTTTATGAAAACATTTTAATTCAAATTTGTCTTCCCCAACCGGGTATAACCCAGATGGTTGCTTATAACCGATATATTTTCATTTGGGACTTGAGTTTCCTCCTTTGGGGCAGAAGGGAGCCTAGAGAATCTCTAATTTGTCCTTGATTTAAAGATGTAGGCTAGTCTTTCTGTCCTTTTCATCTTCCCAACTTTTGGAACTCAGAATCAAAGGCATGTATGACAAAATTGTTTATTACACTTACTGTGCTAATCTCAAATACTGCACTGAAGACAAGCCTTATCTTGGAAGCTTCATCTACTCAGCTACACCCGCAGAGATATTAGGAATAGTTGTAGTGTGATAAGTTTATATTTTCTTTTGTGAGAAAACACAATAATGGGGAGGCTTGGTGGGTCGAGGTTAAAGCTTACCTTGGATCTGGGTAGCTGGGACGCAACTAACTCTCTCCGGACTTTGAGAGTTTCTCCTTCTTTATCCTCACACAAACTAGAATTCACCTGGTGCGCATGGCCTCAATTTCAGTGCCACAGGAGGACTGGTCACCATCCCACGGGCCATGCTAGAAGCAGACGTGGAGTACACGTTTGACCTCACCATATCGAAACCAGGCATGGATTCAGAAGCCACAAATCAAACCGTATGTATGAACAAGGCTCTTTTCCCCTGCTTGTTCTGCCTCCATGTCGTCAAACCCTTTTCTTTTTTTAAAAAAACAACAACATTTTATTAAGTTATAAAGTATTATAAAGTGCAAAAGTAAATAAAAGAGCAATGAGGGGAGAGGAGAAAGGGGAAAGAAAAGTGAGGAAAATAGGGAAAGTTAAAGAAAAAGAAGCATTGATTTCTGACTCTCTCTGTTGTAGTAGACTAAGGCATTAGCACCAAATCACTTTGCTTTTTGCTTTTCCATAATAATACGAACAAGTCATCTCTGTAAAGATCTATCAATCTAATCTGTAAAACCCAAAGTCAGAATTTCATTCTTTTCCACATCAAGCACAAAGTTCAGAAGCGGTTTCCATGTGGAAACAAAAGTACTCGGGCCTTTTCTTTGATCAAAGTGGTCAGTTTTGCCATTTCGGCCAACTCCATCAACTTCTGCAACCATTCATCGTCCACGGTAGGAATCGAAGTCTCCTTTCATTTTTGCACATTCAATAATAGTCTTGTTGCTGTCAACATATATAGTAATTCCATTTTTTTTCTCCATTTTTTTTTCCCATTAGACCCAAAAGTTTGATTTCATTTTTTAATCTCCATTTTCAGAATTTTCTGTATTAAAATATGAATCATACTCCAGTTTTTTGTTTTTTTTTGTTTTTTGCTTTATCACATGGCCACCATAGAGCAGAGGTCTCCAACCTTGGCAACTTTAAGACTTGTGGACTTCAACTCCCAGAATTCTCCAGCCAGC